GTAGTTTATTTTAGCTTTCAATTCCTCCTGAATCAGTTCTTCTAGAATACTTAATAAATGACACAGGTTACACAAATTCACCAAAATTTCCCATAACATCGTCCAGATCACAATCGCATACTGAAACCTTAACCCCTGACTGAATCTCATAAAAAGCATTACAGAAGTCGTGTTCAGCGAATTCCATATTCACATACTTCTTCAAAACCTAATTAGGGCGATCAAACGAATAAAGAAAAATAACGTCTTACACGTTTGTCAAGCGGAAGTCCCGTGAAGCAAACACATGCACCGGTCAAGTTCAGGGCGTATACAGGAAAGTCCCATCGTGGTAACGACCCACCGTTATTCAACGTTTGCCGAACAACGTGAACTCCATAAAGACTAAACGAATGCAAGATAGTACGCCCTAACATTAAAATAGGATAATAACGAGGTACCACAAATTTTACTCACTTGACCCTAAGCTTCTTCAGATGTTCAAATACTCTTCCACGGAACGCGGGTACGAAATAAAAACTATCATTTTTTGAAGTAACTCCCATAGCCTTTTCTTCGGACAACCAAACAGCTCCAACTCCGCAGTCATTCATGATCTATAATACCAAATCTCATCATGGAACAATCTCAGGAATAAAGCTGTCAGTCAAAAGCATTATGTTATCAGCAGCTATCCCCAAAATGACAAACCGTGAATGTTTCGCGGTAATACTCCTCTTCTTGTTTCGTGATGGAAGGGTCACTAGGCTCTATACAGTATACGTCCACAGGTTCCCCAATGTTTTCTTCTTCGCCATCCTGAAAGAGTTTTGTCATTTTTTCACTGAGAGATCCTTGAAATCCTCGAAGAAAGAGTAGTGAACCACTGTTTTTTTTTTCAATTTTCTCTCAATCAAAATATATCCATAAAAATTCCCAGGTGAAACCCTTGTGTAGGTTCTCGAAGACGCATCAAGCCCTACTGCAATGCAGAGTCAGGTCTGTGAGGAAAACATGGTCGGTCAAAGGCTGCTTAGGTTACCTGGGAAGAACGCAAGTCGTGCACAAGGTCATTTCACCAGAAGTGAAACTCAGTCACTGGTCAAAACAGAGTGCAGCTTTTCATGATTGATAAGAGTGTCTTAATCTGCGACATGACTTTGTGGGATGCAATCCACTTCTCTCTACCAATTCACATACAATACCCATGAGCGGAAATGAAATTCTGGCAGGCGGAGCTCCTTCCAAGCGCACGATAAAACAACAATATCTTACTAGTTAGATC